TGCGATGCGGTGGCTAGTAAAGCGACCAAAACGCTGGCTTGCATCCATAAATGCTTCTCAAGCAAATCCCGGGACGTCATTCTCCCCCTGTACTCGGCCTTAGTGAGGCCGCAGCTGGAGTACTGTGTCCAGTTTTGGGCTCCACAATTCAAAAAGGATGTGGAGAAGCTTGAGAGAGTCCAGAGAAGAGCCACGCGCATGATCAGAGGTCAGGGAAGCAGACCCTACGATGACAGGCTGAGAGCCCTGGGGCTCTTTAGCCTGGAAAAGCGCAGGCTCAGGGGTGATCTGATGGCCACCTACAAGTTTATCAGGGGTGACCACCAGTATCTGGGGGAACGTTTGTTCACCAGAGCGCCCCAAGGGATGACGAGGTCGAATGGTCACAAACTACTTCAAGATCATTTCAGGCTGGACATAAGGAAGAACTTCTTTACTGTCCGAGCCCCCAAGGTCTGGAACAGCCTGCCACCGGAGGTGGTTCAAGCGCCTTCATTGAACACCTCCAAGATGAAACTGGATGCTTATCTTGCTGGGATCCTATGACCCCAGCTGACTTCCTGCCCTTTGGGCGGGGGGCTGGACTCGATGATCTTCCGAGGTCCCTGCCAGCCCTGATGTCTATGAAATCTATTAAATTAATCCCATGCCTAAATTTTTGTGATCCTCACTTTGCTGGCCTTTTTTCAAAACCTGATCTAAATCTTACTGAACTTAATTGGAGTCTTTCAATTGAATCCCGGGGACTATGACTTAGGGAAGGAGTATGTAAAAATATTTTTTCCTTAGTTTTTATGTTATAGAAATAATGACTGAAGACCCTTTTTCACTATTTGAAAGAAACACATTTCTTAGAAAATCTAGTAATTTAGCCATTAATATTTAATGGATGCATCTACACATTCATTAATGCACTTTTGCTATTGAGCATTAAATTTAGTACCTCTAATGTGAGGTACTAAATAAATGCACATTAGGCTGCCCTAATGCGCACTAGTAAAAGCATATGCTTTTTAGCGACACAATGCATAGTCGTCTATTTTTACTGCATATGAGTGTATCAGCACAGTTTTTTTACATAACACTTTAATGAGCAGTAAAATAGGCCACTGTACATGAAAGAACATGTGTAGCAATGACCAAAGTGACTGAATTGAGGGTATGTACTGTAAGGATTTTTTTTTTGCAAGGCAGCTAACTGGGTCAGCTGTTCAGACAGATGCATTTTGGACTGGAGGCAATTGCATCATTATGACCCCTTTCCACCCCTGCAGGTAAATGAAACTCAGGAGAAGAATTGGGTTCACGTCAGCTCTGATGCCAGCAGACTTGCAATTATCTGGAAATATGGTGGGCTCTACATGGATACCGATATCATCTCTATCAGGCCTATTCCAGTAAAAACATTCATAGCAGCCCAGGCTTCCCAGGTTGCCAGCAATGGGATTTTCAGCTTTCCTCACCATCACTCGTTCATTTGGCATTGCATGAAGAATTTTGTAGAAAACTATAATGCGGACATTTGGGGACACCAAGGTCCCTATTTAATGACAAGGGTGCTTAAAACCTTATGCAATCTTAGTAATTTTAAGGCTGTGGAGGACCAATGCTGTCGGAAGATTTTCTTCTTAAATCCTCAGCGTTTCTATCCCATTCCCTATCCATTATGGGAAAAGTACTATGAGGTCTGGGACATACACCTCAACTTCAGTGACTCCTATTTCAATGACTCCTATGCCTTGCACCTGTGGAACTATATGAATCAGCAACAGAAGGCAGTGGTTGCTGGAAGTAATACACTGGCAGAAAATCTGTACAAAACCTACTGTCCCATCACATACAAAAAACTTATTCTGGACAGACATCGGAGTGTTTGCAAGAGAGAATAAAAGACTGTTCAACTGGATACAGCAGAACAAGGGACCTTTCCCATTTGGGTATTCCTCTGACTAAGATACACTGTTCACAGACTTCTCCTCCTCTTCATCAGTGTGTGGCTCTACAGGTGCATTAATGCACTTTAATTCATGCACATTAAATCTAGTACTTCCATTGTGAGATACTAGGAAAATATGTATTAGCTTGTTTTAATGCACATTAACTAAAAAGCATTGGGGTGTTTTTAGTGATGCTTTAAAGAGCATTAAAATAGGCTAATGCACATTAAAGCACACGTGTAGTTGTGCCCAGTGATTCCCACCTTTGTTCTGTCTCCAGATCTCTCTGTAATGAACTGCCTCCTTTCCCAAATTCCCCAGGACTGAGTGAAATGTGTAGAAAGGCAGAGGGTGCAAATATCACTTGAGCATCAATGGTAAACATGGCATATTCTTTAGGAGAAATAACTTATGCCTAAGTCCTAAGTGATTTAGGAGTCTCAGTCTAATTTTTGAAAAGCTGAATTGGTGTTTAGGAAGCAAAACTTCATTTTGCATCAAGTCTTATGCCCTAAGAACCTAGTTTTAGAGGTATTTATGTGCCTCAATGCAGATAGACACTTAATGGGATTTTCCAAAACATTAGGTGTCTATCTATCTGCACTGCTAAGCCCTTACTGCCATTACAAATCTGGCCATTTGTATGCTTTTAAAATGCTATCTGTGTACAGTGAATATTTGCAGGCAAGAGCTCCACAACCTGACTAGGTATGAAAGAAGACTAAAGGATCTAGGATATGTTTCTGGAGGGCATAGGACAATAGAAAAGGGAGTTCTGGCTCTCCAGTTAGGATGTGTAATATCTGGAAATGTGTCCCTCATGTGCAGCATAGAGTGGAGGGTGTCTGGTTATCCCATCCTTCTGGACATTTGCTGGCCATCACATGGAGCCAGGAAGGATTTCTTTCCCTTCCTAATTGCTATTGCTGTCTGGGTTTTTTTCTGACTTCCTCAGAAGCATTGGGTGCTGGCCACACCCAAAGCTGCAGACTTTAACTAGGTGCGCTGATACTCTTACTGGGCCTTAGAAAACCTGGAGGTTCCTGGCTAGGGGGTCTTGCTTCTCTGCTGAGGGTCAAACTGATCTCTGTATTTGGGGCCAGGAAAGAAGTTTACTCCATAGTCAGACTGGCATGAACTGTGGGGTTTTTGCCTTCATCTGCAGTGGGAGCATGGTCCTCTATCTTGGGTCTCTTGATCATATATTAACAACTACTTCCTATCCTTGCAGGGGCAGGACATTGACAGTGCCCTTGTCCCCCTGCTTTACCTGTGGTAAGTTAAACAGAGTGTGATTTTGGTGTCCTGAACATCATGTTTGGTAGTTGTGTGTGAGGGTTTAGTCCCAAAGATTTTAAGAACAGGCTAGACAAACACTTGTCTAGGATGGTCTAGACAGGGATGACGCCTGCCTTGAGCAGGAGGTTGGACTAGGTGACGTCCTGAGGTCCCTTCCAGCCCTACTTTTCTATGAGTCTACGATTCCATAACAACAAGAAAAATAATAGCCCAAGCTATTCCAAATTTTTCATTCACAGAGTTTATTTCCCTCTTATATACTGAAGCTTTGTCCTCAATGTTCCTAACTGTGATGTTTTAAACAAAGGTAGAAATAAAATGTTTAACCAAGTTCAATAGCTCCAAGCTTCTTTTCTCTCCTGAATCTCCTTTCATTCCATAGACTCCTTCCCCCCTCCTTTTTTTTATTTTCTTATTCTATTTCTTCATTTTTTTCTTCATTGCTTCTTAGTAAGACAGCTTCCTTGTGGTTTCTAAGTATGTATGGGGTTTCATCAGTCATAAGTATGTATAGGGCCTAATCAGAATTGTTTCTGTGAATTCATCCATGCCACACTCCCGTGACATAAGGCAATGCTATTATAACCCTGCCTATCCACTTGCCATTCCTCCCTCCCTTCCCCATTTTCTTCCTTTGTGCCCAGGATTTGGCCGATAGGAGGACTAACAAGGTCTGGCTTCACCTTTTCCTGTCCTCCCTTCCTTTTAACAACACCTGGTCTTCCTTGCCTTACAATCTGTCTGTTCCACCAACCCCTACCCTCTGGTGTGATTTGCAAGCCAAAACAGTGAAACCGTTTTCCTGGCATTTGATCTTTGTATCTTTTGCCTTTACTTAGAAAACAGAGCTCCTGGGCTCTTTTCAGGTGCTAATTCATACCCTTTCAAACCCAGAGATCTAAAGAGTTTAAATACTGCAAATCCCTTTGGTCTGAAAGGCTGTTAACAAATGCAGTTCCTGATGGATGGCAGGTTAGTAACCCGTTACCCACTGTTTGCCATGTGCACAACGATAGCTTTTGTAAATACTAACAAGCTGGCAGCAATCTGCACTGTTTTTGCAGCTGCAAGTTACAGTAGAATTAAGTAGGAAAAGAAAGACCCCCCCCACCCCACACACACACTTTTGCTTAAATGAACCCTTTAACCTTCTTCCTTTAGGGCCTGATTCTTCACTTACAACACGGTTAGTCGGAAGTAACTACACAGATCCATGGAGTTACACAGTGTAACACCAATATAAGGGAGAGGAGAGTCGAGCCAAGCCTTTCCAGTTACCCGAGCAACAGCTTGGCTTTGGGGAATATTTCCCCATTCCTTTTCCAACGGAGAAGCTCTCTAGGCTCAGCACGGTGGGTCTGCTGTCATCACGGAGGTGCAAATTACATAGGTATAAACTGAGCTTTCTTTTTCTCTTTGCTTTCTGATGAGGGAACCTGCATTTTGGCTTGAAATCACCTGGGAGCTGCCTTTTTCCTGGGTGGCTTTGGATTTCCCAGTGGGGTACGCAGGGAGGGTGTAGAGTTACAGCACAGCAAAGTCCTCCCAGTATTCCACGCAGCTTTGGACAACCCCTCTGTGCTGGGAACCACTCTTAACCCTCCACACACATCGCTCCAATCCGGCCCTTTTAGACCCTCCTTTTCAATCTCTCCCTCCTTGGGGACAAGTAAGTATTTGCTTTTCTTATGTCCCGGGGCTTCATTTTGCAGGCTTTCCATCCTGATTCAGCACTATACAGTGCACATGAAAAGGCGATTGGGGGGGGGGGGGGGGG